TCCTTTTTCTTCTGCTGTAAGCTCCAAATGGAGTTGAAAATTGACTTTCCACAGATATGTTTTATTTGCTGTGTGTGGCATGGGTACTGTGGGGAGGGTGGTGTACACATTCACTGTAAGCCTTCATGAACCTATCAGAATGCAGCATTTTAATTAACTAAAAATACATATACAATATGTGAAGTCTATCTAATGTAGCAGGCAGCTTTGCCATATGTTTGTTAGTAAAACTCTTAATGGAACTAGGGTACTGGTTTTAGGATTAAGGTACCAGGTGTAGCAGGGAGGTATGCTACATCTTACACAGTGTAATCAGAACCACAGTGTAATCAGAACCATGTAACTATAGGTTCCTGTCAAAAGAAGCACCTTGGAATCATAGAAACATAGAATTAGGACCTTAGCGGTCATCTAGTCCAACCCCCTGCCATGCAAGAATCTCAGCTAAAGCATCCATTCTAAAGCATTATATTCTTCTACGGTTTATTTCATCATTTGTTTCTGGCTTACAAAACTTCGTTTTAACTGTGGTTTGGCATAATATTAATCCAGCACCCATCCGTAACCCTGGCTTGTTTGGCCACCCCATCTCAGATGCTCAGAAAGCTACAAAAGTACCTTAAGCCAAGAACAGCTGGGAAGGAAAAACCAAATTTTGGGGGGTGTTATGTACTGAGTTGAATAGGATCCAAAATGCAGCAGTCTGATTGGTCCTAGAACAATGCAGCAGTATGATTGGTCCGCAGGAGCCACCTAATCCAGCTCCAGGTGGAAGTGAATCCACAACCTGATTGGCCTACAGGAGAATCCCGGAATTAGCCAATCACGTGCAGCCCATTGTGTAAATACAGTGGTACCTCGGGTTACATACGCTTCAGGTTACATACGCTTCAGGCTACACACTCTGCTAACCCAGAAATAGTGCTTCAGGTTAAGAACTTTGCTTCAGGATAAGAACAGAAATCGGGCTCTGGCGGTGCGGCGGCAGCAGGAGACCCCATTAGCTAAAGTGGTGCTTCAGGTTAAGAACGGATTCAGGTTAAGTACGGACCTCCAGAACGAATTAAGTACTTAACCCGAGGTACCACTGTAATGTATATAAAGCAGATATTGTGGGGGAACTTCCATTCCTCCTCACCTCTATGAGCTGAATAAACAGCATGAAATCCACTCTCGACTCCGAGTATATTTCAGGGGGAAATGTTATGATTTGTTTGATCATCTGTTGGACAACTGATAGTTTTTTTCAAAAAAAAAAAAAGTATGGCTAAAACAGACTGTGGGTTAGCATTATTTCTGAACTATACACTTGCAAGCTGCTCTCATGCCCCTATATTGGAAGGTTAGCTAATTGGTATGAAGTGGCCACTGAAAACTGAAACTGTTTCAATTACTTGCTTAAAACATAAATAAATAGAGTCAGCCAAGAATAGACATATTTCCTTGGCCTTTTAACATCATGCAGCAGTGGAATATTCCAAGAGAAACTTTCTATTGTTGTGTAATGTTCCACATGGAGGAAATCCAGTTTCCCACGGCTGGGCTATTCTTTTGGCATCCTGAGAAATGCCTTAATATGAATTTTCAGTAAAACAAACGTTTCACATCACAGGGAGATCTTAACAAAGGGCTTTTACTTTTCCTTCTCGAGGAAGTTTCCTCATCTTCTTTCAAATCCCAACCAAATACATGCTCATGCTCACCTCTATAGAAATTCCACATACCCTGCAAGCTCAATTGGAGTCATCATTTCCTCTCAGGGACAAGCAATTGATTTAAACGAGTTTATTTCCTGGTTGCTTTTGTAGCTTTAGTGGGCCCCTTGATGTGCTTCTAGCAGGTTTCATCTGACGAAGAAGGAAGAAGGAAGCAAGAAGAAGGAAGCAGAATGACCAAATGGCTTTCCTGAGTTCGGGTGGTGGTGCCCTCCCTGTGGAATGCCCTCCCTTCAGGTGCCAAGGAAATAAGCAACTATCTGACTTTTAGAAGACATCGAAGGTAGCCCTGTTTAGGGAAGTTTTTAAGGTTTAATGTTTTTATTATGTTTTTAGATATGCTGTAAGCCACCCAGGTGGGCAAGGTTTAAATAAAGTTGTTGTTGTTGTATAATGTTTTTACCACCAATCAAAGTGGATCTTCATTGTTTTGAGCACTTGAACCTGTGATGGCTCTCTTCTATTTTCAATGGTCATCATATTTAAGCTGTATTCTAAAGAGGGATGATGTCTACACCAGACAAGACCTAAATTGTGAGGTCCTTCCCTTGGCCACTAGAACGCATAGAAGAAGATTTTTTAAATGTACTCTATGGTTGAAATAAGACAATTATCAAGACAAAGAACACTCCCTCTGAAAGGGTGTGATGTACCTTGGAGCATGTAACGAAGCTCTTATCCCTGTCTGTACCGTGGCACCTTCTGGGGTCAACAGGAAGACCAGTTTAGCTAAATGTTCCACCTTTTTCACTAGGATTAAACCCACAACAGAATACAGTGGTACCTTGGGTTAAGTACTTAATTCGTTCCAGAGGTCCATTCTTAACCTGAAACTGTTCTTAACCTGAAGCACCACTTTAGCTAATGGGGCCTCCTGCTGCCGCCACGCTGCCAGAGCCCAATTTCTGTTCTTATCCTGAAGCAAAGTTCTTAACCTGAAGCACTATTTCTGGGTTAGCGGAGTGTGTAACCTGAAGCGTATGTAACCTGAAGTGTATGTAACCCGAGGTACCACTGTAGCCCAATGAATCGTTAGCTGCCAGCACATGCAGAATACAGAGCGATAGGATTCTATGGTATCAAAATATAACAAAATATACGTATATTAACAAAATTTTAAAAACAGAGCATTGAAGTCAATTTAAATCCAGAAGAAAAGATTGTTTACCCTTTGAACATGCCCTGGCTGTTCTAGGCAAATAGCTTCTCTTATGTGCTACCTTCCTTGTGGATTAACAGCATGGACTTCATGGAGCTTGACTTGCTGAAGATCCCCAGCACAGGACTTAGCTGAGCATGTATAGATGCCTGTGAAATTGACACCGTGGCCTGAAATGCTTCAGGATGTTAGCAGAGGTGAACCAAGGTCCACCCAGGTTGCCCATTCAGGGAGGCAGGAAGGGTGGGGCCTTGAGGTGCAACAAGTTAACAATCGAATTGCTCATGGAGGAGTGGGCGAGCTTCTGGCAGGGCAGATATAGACATTGGCTCTCAAGCAGTGCCCAGATCATTGTGTGGGGTGGGGTCCATAACAACTTTGACAGTGGTAACCCTAGGGATGTGTTAGAAGGCCGCAAAGTGTGTGCGTGTGCGATTTAGCTGAAATGGGATGTGTGTGTCTGAGAGTGAGGTTTGTGAATTTCATTAGATTTCATTTCCCTTTCCTATGCTGCTGCCAAGTACAGGGCTTGCTAACTATTTAGTCCAGGGGTTGTCTGTCAACCTGGTCCCTACCACCCACTAGTGGGCGTTTCAGGATTCTAGGTGGGCGGTAGGGGCACAAGCTGAGTCCTCCTCCCATTGAGCACTGGTGGGCAGTAAGGAAATTTTACCATCAAGAAAGATGCATTAGTAGGCGGTAGGTATAAAAGGTTGACTACCCCTGATTTAGTCAACCCCACTGCACAATTGTCTGTTTTGAATAGAGTTTTAGTCATCATTGGCAATATAAGAGTCTCAATATAGTGTTGTGAGTGCACTACTTAGCTCTCAGAAACAGACACCATAGCGAGCTTCCAGGAAAATATGACTTCCATGACTCACATTACTTCATCCGGCACGTGTATTTTCATAACTCTGACAGTGAAGAGAGAACATAAACAAAAACAAAAAACAGCTGTTGATTTCAGAAAACTAAGAGCAAGCTGCAATTCTCTTTTTTATTATTCTTTCATGTACTGCAGGGCAAAGTCCTGACATTAACGATTCCAGTGCTGAACTTCAAGTGAAGTCTTGCATATGTTCACATTCTGGGGCCACATTTTATGCAGTTGCTTATCTACATGAATGCATTTTACTTCCGCATAGGAAAACCACATGTACTCTGTGATACTAAGTAAAAGTGTGGGAAATGTGCATGTTCCATGCAACAGGAAGTTGAGAGAAATGGATCCAATGAAGTAAGCTCTTCCTTAAGAAAACTCACATTACAGCATGTTTCCTGGTCTTTAAGGTGCCACCAGATTCTTTACTATGATGGTGGGTTCTCACCAGGTCTACATGTTTGTCTGCGCATGTCAGAGTTTTTCTTTTGTGTAAAGCAACTCATATATCACTGTGGCCATAAGTGCACATGTTTCCATTGGGTCTAGGGGCTACTCCAGACCCAGAAATCTTTTAAAATTAACATCAGTGGTTTTTTCCCCCTTAAAAAATGTTTAGGGGGACTCTCATTTTGACTCAAGAAAATCACCATTTTATAGTTCAAATCAGGAAAGATAAATAGAGTAAATGGACAAAAGTACATAGATTCTCAAAATGTTTAGGGGTATGCGTCCCCCTGCGTCCCCCCAGAAAAAAGCACTGATTAACATATATCATATATATTATCTCACACATGATATCGTACATGATAACCACCCATCATATATCCATCATAAATAATAGCTTCATTGCTATACAGCCATTTTGGTTTGTTTTTCTTTTTTCTTTGACAAGCTACTTTATACTTAATTATCTTCTCTTCATGCTATTTCTGATGAGAAGGTATACAACTGGATACTGGTACAGTATATCAATCAAACCTATCAAATCAAACTAAGGTTTTGCACTTCGCATGTGGCCACTAGGTGGCCCGCTCGCCTTTGATGTCGCGGGGGCGGGGCGTAGTAGCGCGGCTGCCCAGCCGAAGCCTAACCTTCCCAGCAGCGCAAACGAGGCTAGCGCGGAGTTCCAGCGCGCGGAGCAAGCGAGAGGGAAACTTTCGCTTTTGTTCGAATTCCCTTTTCCGGGCGTGGGAGGCGGCATCCCGTTGGCCAGGGAGCGAGTGGAGTTTCCGCCGGGCAGAGGAGTGGAAGTTTCCGCCGGGCTCGGAGAAAGAGGATCCCACCTGCCGGGTGTGTGTGAACTTACTCCCCACTTTTCTTCGTCCAGTTATTCGGCGGCCGCGGATTTTGCGCTCCTTTGGACCAGACGTTCGCAAGCCGAGCAGGCGACTCTCCAGACGGGGTTTGGAAGCAGCCCGGAGACTCAAGAGCAGCATAAGAAACTCCTGTAAGTCCTCTTTGTAGCGATGAGCAGCGACTTGTCCGTGAATTTTTACTCTCGAGAGAGGCGAGTGCCACGATTTCTTTTGCTTGCTTGCTTTATTCGTGCGCTTTCATATTCCTCCAACACCTTCTTCATGTCAGTTTCTCTTCACTTCCTTTCCCGTTTGCATTTTGCATTGCTCCGATTTTTGTTTGCTTGCTTGTTTGCCTTGGAGATCAGTAATAGTTTTAAGTCCCAAGGGAAATTCCACAAGTAGCTCGTCAATAAGACGAGCTCCATACCATCTTTGATCTTCATTTCAGAAAGTCATTGGGTTATTTTTTTCAGGAAAGTGAGTGATCTTGCCCTGCAAGATCAGGTAACTACCCTGCAAGACCCATTTGGAAGTTTCCTTCTATACTGGGGCATTTGAGGTGGTAGCAAACCTTCTCTTATGACTATTTTATTCTGGTGAGCATCACTTAAGCTAAACCTTTGACACATGCGCACACATTTATATATCTGTATATACTGCTCTTTTAGATATGCCTGTGCTGTTTGTTTTATAGTTAGCTTTTTCCTGTGGTTTATAATATAAGTATGAGATCTTTAAATGTTGATTGCATGTATCCTTGCCTATTATTTTTATAGCAACTAGTGTAAAGCTATCACTAACAAAAACTATGAGATCAAACCAAGATGTAAAAATGTTGTGCGGTTTGCTGTTCGTATCGTGGTTTTTGGCAGTAGTTCCTCTGTTGTTGGATCCTTATCTCCAGACTGTTTCCGAAAGGCAATTGTTTTCCTTCATTTCCCTATAGCAAAATATGGGGGAAACCCATGGAGTTGGGCACATGCGATGACTAGACATAGTTAATCCACCACATGCATATGCAGAGGGAAGCCAGTACCTATAATAGTGATGCTTACATTAATCACCTGTGATGGCCTATGTACATTATACATTTTGTTGCCCACACAGTGTTGTGTAACCGTCTCTATTCCCAGTAGCAAAATGACGCTAATTTATTACTTATCCCAAGGAATTGCAGTGAGCTGGAATTCATTGGCATGTCTAATTACCTTTATCGGTGCTTGAAAAAGAATTGGGAGTGGCTCTCAGGCTACAGAATGTATATGATCTCCCATATGGGTATGTGTTTGATCGTTTCAGATGATATTCTGTTATTTTCATTTTTCACCTTCTCTTCGTTTTCAACCCATTTCTGGTTAGTGCGTTTGCAGTCTTCTCTATGCAGCTGATCAGAAATGGATAATTGCAAGGCGTGTCACCAGGTTCATCTTTTGATTCAAAGAAATAAACACATTCCTACTCTTGTCCGTTTAATTGTGACAGACGTACCTAAATGCAAAGAAAGTCAAATATAAGGTTGGAAGTTTTATGTTGCTTGTATGAATTTCATAACCATACTAACCACAGATGTGCTGTGTCTTTATTTTGTTTTTTTCCTCCCCTCTTTCCTTTATAGCTTCTGGCATGAACAAAAGCTTAGGGGAAGCTTCCTATCTGCTATGTTTTCCACTTTCCAAGAAACCCTTTGAAGTTTTAAAGGAAAGACTGGATAGGGATGCTTTGGATATTTTAAAAAAATCTCTATTAGTTCAGGCGTTTGGAAAAGATTGGGTGTGGTACAGCACAAGATGTTGAACAAGATGAAGTACTGTTCAACTCCTTTTTCGTTCTTGGATTATGTGTATGACTCTGGACAAGTCCTTTATTTTTCAGCTTCTCTTACCTGTCTGTGAAATGGAAATAACAGCAATTCAGCTCACAGGATTGTTGTGACATTAAGGGCGGGCATGAAATAAAGATGGTAAAGGACGTTGTAAATTACCAGCAATACTAACAAATTCCACTGTGTTCTAAATCACTTGGTAGCTTTCTGCCACACAGCCTATCACATACAGTGTACAGTGTGCCAGTTTGCCATCATTTAGATGTCTGCACCCTTAACTGTTGTACCATTTGTATTTTGATCAGTAGTGTTTGGGCACTGACTTAGCATTGGATATTCCGCTGTTTCTCGTGCGCTGCTTTTGAGAGACATTTGGCTGGTTTAGACAATAGTCGAAGAAGCTGTCCACCGCAAGGCATGCTTCCTCCTCCATCTCTAGCCATCCATACTGAAATGGCCTGTCTGGATGTGAATGAGCACATGTCAAATCCTACACACATGTAGAGGAAATTGACACGTCTGGTTCCCAAATAAAACCCAGAAATCAACTGCACGCTTTTAAGCCTTTACATGTCATCTTATTACTATTTATTGCATTTAGGTTTTCTTTTCTTTTTAATTGTCAAACAACAGCTGAAATCAGTTAACAAGGAGAAAGCGAAATACAATAAACACAAACTTCCTAAAGTGCCCATGCAATAATACTATAAAACAATCCTACCACACGCTGCTAAAGTGCAGAATGTAAAATAGATGCATATTTGGATGGGTCTCGCTCGCAGGGATGGCAGGAGGCAGTGGAGATGGCGAGGCAGGTGAGCCCAAAGCAACATCCCTTGCTTTGGAATTCTGGGGCTGAAGGAATTCCAGGTGAAAGCAGACAAGTGAAAGTGACATAAATGCAGATTCTCTGGCCTGCAGCCTTCAGTCTCTACCTCACAAATGGGAATTGCTCCTCCCTCCTCCCTTACTGATGATTTGAAGGCTGCCTGCTTTCCTAGGTTCTTCATGTCCCCAGTGGGGGATGCTAAGTGGTGCCAAAACTACAGTATATGGTTGTGGTTGATATATTTTGATTTTATTCTGTGAACTGCCCTTCAGGTATAGGGCGGTATATAAATTCAGTAAATAACAACAACAATCATATAAAGTGATGGGGTCCCTTTTCTGTCTTTCTCTTTCTCTCTCTCTCTCTCTTTCTCTTTCTCTTCTCTCTGCTCTACTTCAGGCACCTAGATCATAAATACAGGTATCTATGTTGGAAGGGATTTAATTGCATTGCTTCTTAATGAGCAATTGGGTAGGATGCTGCCTGAAGCCTTCCCCACCCCCTTCTTATATCTCCAGTCTTAAAAAGGCCAGACTATTTTTAAAAATAAAAGCTGAACCTTCAAGGAAGGACTGATAATGTTTCAGAAAAGGGACCTCCCATTAAGAGGCAGCTTCAGGCGGCAGGTTTGGCATGGCATTATTAGAATACTGTATGTCCATTTAGTTTTTTAGTATTGTTTTGTGGCGAGCTAAGAGCACCATTTTTATTTTTATACCTGACCACCAAAATAATCTCAGACTGGCTTCCTCTGCTCTCAGATAAGATGCTGCCTGATTTTCATGCCTCTGCTTTGATTAGACTTCTCCCTTCTGATTTGTTTCCACTTTCTTTGGAAAGCAAGAGATTTTTCAATCAAATTAGGACTGACCCTTAACCAGTCAAGCAAGCTATGTGCTTTAATAATACATTTTCCACTCCTATTGAATTTGAAAAAGATAGTAGTAGTTTCTGCAGACAGGCAGTTTCTATCCAAGAAAGATACTTGGTAAATAAATAAACAATTAACATTTAAGTATTGTATAGCTCAGTGTTTCCCAACCTTTTTTGGGCAAAGGCACACTTGTTTCATGAAAAAAATCTCGAGGCACACCACCATGCCAGATGGGGAAAGGTCACTTTTTACTTATGTAAAAAAAAATAAAAAAAATAGTAACAGCATAGAAGGTAATGGTTAGGCCCTCTTCCAAATATGCTGGGTTTTTATTTGCAGGGACTGTTTTACATGGGAAAGCATTCAGCACTGTCATTCTCCCATCTGCCATATGAATTGGTACTATTCTGGGTCAACTTACTCTGCTGCATGTGTAGATGAAAATGGCACCAAGTGTGGGGGAGGGGGCAGAACAGGTTTCAGATACAGGATATTAAGCATACACGTACTTCAGATTGAACTGGTTGCTTGCTTTGCAAGTTTTCATTTCCCAAATGACTGCCTTGGCAAGCGCAATACCTACCAGGCTCAAGGCCGGTCTCGCGCTGCCGCTTCCCGCGCTCTCAAGGACCCGGGAGGAGGAAGGCGTGAAGGGAATCCCGAAGGCGCGAAAACCTCGCGCATGCGCAGGCCTTCTGCCTGCGACAGCCCAGTAGGCCGGCCGAGGCGAGCGGCGATGGGATGTGGGAGGGAGCTTGCTCGCCGCCCCGCGTGTGCCTATGTGGGGCACGTTACAGCCCCGTGACGTCAGCGCCACGCAGGCAGCCAGGCAGGCAGACGGCGAGAGCCCTGCGCTGGGCGGCCTCTCCTCGCCGCCGCCGCCCCGCCTCTCGCCGCCCGACTCGCCCGCCTCCCTCCCACGGCACACCAGGCAACGTCTCGCGGCACACTAGTGTGCCGCGGAACACCAGTTGGGAAACACTGGTATAGCTTACATAGGACAGAGTTTTTGTCAATTATGTTGCATTTCTAAGGAACTGCATGACAGGGATGCCATTCCCCCCATTGTTTTTGGCAGTGTCAAGTTATTGATTGGAAACATCTATACAGTGGTACCTCGGGTTAAGAACTTAATTCTTTTTGGAGGTCCATTCTTAACCTGAAACTGTTCTTAACCTGAGGTATCACTTTAGCTAATGCGGCCTCCCGCTCGATTTCTGTTCTCATCCTGAAGCAAAGTTCTTAGCCCGAGGTACTATTTCTGGGTTAGCGGAGTCTGGGTTAGCGGAGTCTGTAACCTGAAGCGTCTGTAACCTGAAGCGTCTGTAACCCGAGGTACCACTGTATTTTTGATAAGCTCACTGATACTACACTGGGGTAGGGAACAGCGTTAGAAACTCAGATATAGAAGCTAGGAGCCAAATGACTCCTTAAACCAGGGTTACAGTCACCACAAAGGAATGTCTAGGTGCCATTTTGTGGCCAGATGTCTTGGAAGTCATATTTTCCAATATGACGTTTTGGTTCCTGAAATTCCTTCTGATTGTGCAGATAAAATATCACGAATAGAATTCTACAGGAAGCTGTTGCTAGTGTGTGAAAACAGTCAAGATCCCAGGATCCC